CCAACTTGCAGGCATAAACTATAAGTACAGTTATATCAATACTGACACTTCTTGCTATAGATACTGTACATCCAACTTGCAGACATTAACTTTAAGTACAGTTATATCAAATCTGCCACCACAAGCTATAGATACCGTTACATCCAACTTGCAGACATTAACTATAAGTACAGTTATATCAAACTTGCCACTACAAGGTATAGATAACGTTACATCCAACTTGCAGGAATTAACTATTAGTACAGTTACTGTGAAATCATCATTATTCGTGGGGCACGAATTTTCGTGGTTTTCGTGGATAGGTCAATCCACGAATTTAAAACCCGACGAAATTTTATCCCAACAAACGCTTCTTACCATGTCTCTGTTCCAGATATCACAACATGCGTCGGCGCTTTTCAGGCCGATATTTGTGGTAATGAATGTATATTATAATTCAGGTCAGTGACAAATTAAATCCATAAATAGTTTCTCATTTTGCAATATTTAAGAAACTTGAAAGAAAAATCGGATTGTATGTCTTCAGTTTGCTGTCACAAATGTTCGTCGCATGTAAACTCCAGGGACTACTTGATCGTTGTAGTCTACTTGATTGTGTTAGCCAGAATACGTGACATAATCGAGTAAATATGGGAACCAAGTGCATTAAATTATCCCCGATAAAATTTTTTCACGACTAGTGTTTATATGATCCATTTAAAATATATTTTTTTTCAATATGTATTTGTGACTGCTATTCCGAAAATATCAAAGAACCGTCGTCTTTACACTAGATGCACACATACATGTATGTAACTGTATTGAGCCATTTACTGGTATTATTTATATGCATATTAAATTTACACAGTCGAAGTGATGTAGTGGTGTAGTTTTGGACCAATTGGGTGTTAACTTTTTTACTGGCTGGTTAAAAAATGGCAAATGTATAATTTATGCGATGTTTACATTGGCGAATTATAGAGGCATATAATGGAGCTGCATATCATGTCACACAAAGGTGTTTAATTGCAGTCAATTATCGGGGGCAGTATTGTGTTACTGCCAGAGGCCAGGATTAAATTTATTGACAAGAGCTGTGTTATATACACGGGGTAAGTAAAAAAGCGCAGTGATTAAGTGAAAGATTACTTTCCATTACTTATTATTTTTTTTTTTACAATAAAATGAAAATCCACGAATTTAAGAACCCACGAAAATGCCTGTTTTGATAAAACCACGAAATTTCATGCCCACGAATACAAATGATTTCACAGTATATCAATCTTGCCACCACAAGCTATAGATACTGATACATCCAACTTGCAGGCATTAATTATAAGTACAGTTATATCAAACTTGCCACTACAAGCTATAGATAACGTTACATCCAACTTGCAGGCATTAAGTACAGTTATATTAAACTGCCACCACAAGCTACAGATACCGTTTATCCAACTTGTAGGCATTAACCATAAGTACAGTTATATCAAACCTGCCACTACAAGCTATAGATAACGTTACATTCAACTTGGAGGCATAAACTATAAGTACAGTTATATCAAACCTGCCATCACAAGCTATAGATAACGTTACATTCAACTTGCAGGCATTAACTAGAAGTACAGTTATATTAAACTGCCACCACAAGCTACAGATACCGTTACATCCAACTTGCAGGCATTGACTATAAGTAGAGTTAAATCAAACTTGCCACCACTTGCTATAGATACTGTGAGATCAAACTTGCCGACAGAAATTATGTAAACTATCGTATCTAACTCGTCCACAGAATTTAATGATATCGTTCTTTCTAACTTGCCGACAGATGCTTTAAAAAGCCTTATATACAACTTGGAAAAACAAGACACACAAGCTATAAATCCCACTTGCCGACAACGGTTATACGTTATGTTATATCATACCTGCTGGAAGAAGCTATATCTATACCATTATATCACCCTTTCCGACAGAAGCTATACATAGTGTAATATCTTAATTGCTGACAGAAGCTTGTAATACCGATGTAATAAAGTAATAAACGAGCTATACAAACGCTATATCAAACCATCCAACCTACAGACAACTTCTATACAAACTGCCATTTCAACTTCGACAGAGCTATATAAACCATTACTTCCTACTTGCAGGGAGAATCTATGCATACTGTTTTATCCTACAGGCCGACACAATATTTCCAACTTGCCGACAGAAGCTATATATACCGTCGACACAAGCTATGCAGTATGTTATATCCTACATGCCGACACAATATTTCTAACTTGCCGACAGAAGCTATATATACCGTCGACACAAGCTATGCATACTGTTATATCCCACATGCCAACACAATATTTCCAACTTGCCGACAGAAGCTATATATACCGTCGACACAAGCTATGCATACTGTCATATCCCACTTGCTGACAGAAGCAATAGAATGAAATTTATATAATTTGTTTCCGACTTTTTTAGATTAGTATTAATACCACTTAATAATAAAGATGCAACAGCATGTATGAAATTTAGCAATACAAAGTCATAAAACATTTGTTGCCAATAAACATATTTTCGGATGGAAACAATTCAGACAGTTTGGCATTTTTGTTTTAAACATGCTGTTTTTTTTTTTTTTTTTTTTGGGGGGGGGGAGGTGGGGGTATTTTTTACTGAAGGTGGTGCCGACTCTTGTGCATATATTTTCTGCAATTTCTCAGTTTCTTTTAAATGTATGTCATTTTACTGATCATATTATTTGTTTGGGTTGTCAGGCTAACAGAACAATAAGGTATAATCTTGCATTTACCTGTCTAATTTTTGAAGAAGATAAAATATATGTGAGTAGCATGAAAAAATATCATTATAGACTCACCTCGCACAAAATGTTTTACGTTAATGATATCCAATTATAGAGATACGCGTAAAAATGAAAACTAAAATCAAACAATAAACACGGGGGTGGAACCCCAAATGTATCTCAAAAATGAGCATCGGTAAAAAATATTTGTGAATTTCCGCTGCACCAGATGTGAAGCATTACACTAGATGTGTCTGTAAAAATAGGTCAATTGCAGGGTAAGTTTTCATCTTTTTAAACATTTATATAACATTCAATCCTTTTATAAGAAAATTGAAATGTGATTCTACCCTCCTTACTCTCCTCTATATGACCCATTTTTGGTTTGGATTTCTATGTAGTCTTCATCGAGATATTCCTTCCGTCGTGGGTTCTGGTATGTCCAAAACATGCAATATGAATGAAGAAAATGTCACTAAACGGACTCAAAAACAGAGATTTTACGAAATCTCACTACAGACCGATGCTTTACATTAAGACAAATCCTGATTTAAACATTTACTGAGATTTGGCTCCAAACGAATGAATCGCTGCTCATAATTGCATTTGCGCTCCATATGTGCTGAAGAGATCCATAAGTGATGTAGAGAACCATCTAGAAAACTACGGACCACTTTCATATTATCATTAAATAGCCAATGTATAGAAACAATTTAGGTTTCGTAGCTTTGGCTGAAAGTTCAATTGTAACATAAGTGTGTTTGATCACCGCAATGACAGAGCTCACTAGCTTATGCTAGCATTAAAAATTCTAAAAGGCCTGAGTACATGAAAATGTTGACGCAGAGCGGATAGTACTCGTATGATAAACAATTTACTAATAAAGGAAATGTAACTTGGACAAACCAAACTGAAAGTATTGAACATTGTAAAGCTATCATGTCATATAATATGTTTCTAAAATACTGTTTACATTCATAAACATATCTATAGCCTCTTTCGGCAAGTTGGATATAACGGTATGAATAACCTCATATATATTCCACTCGGAACCTCAGATACTCTTTATGTAACGTGTCAATAACCGATATTGTAAACTCCAGACCATATGAGCCAATCAGAAGTATATTGGGTGTTCCTGATTGGTTGGATGACCAAAAACATAGCAAAATATTGCTGTAAATAATTAGGACGCGCCAGTATTACGCTAACCGCCGTTTCATCAGCATTTTAATGGCATGCCAAAAGATGGATTTTTAAATTTATATCAGTTACAGAGCAGGCATAAAAGAAGTCAAATAGGCATTGATCCATAACTGCGACTATGGGCATGAAGTGAACCATATAAATATTATGCAAAGACGTTCCTTGATGGTGAAAATAAATATGCAAATGTTCTTTGATCTTTTTCAAAAAGTTTATCAATAACTTTCTTACAGCGTCAAAAAAAATCAAACACGCTTCACAATACTTCCATATTAAGTAGACAATGCAGTTGAGTGAGTAATTAGTTAATTAATTAATGCATGACTACATAAAAAAGGCAATGATTACACTACACATGACGACAATAAATCAAAATGAGCAAGGCCTTCCCACCATATCTATGATTTTCAAAACCTTTCGTATGCAGAATGTCTTTTATCTCTTTCTATATGGATACTATGTTATTCAAACTCGTCTCGTTAAAATGTGTCTATTTCGAATAATAATGGTTTTATTACAGAATGATACACAAAAGAATAAATTATAGATTCCTTATGAAAGTGATGCATAATTATGTTGCTATCTTTTTATATTATGCACATATGGATCTAGATCTTCAGCACATATGGAGCTCAAATGCAATTTTCTTTGTTTGTAGCCAAATCTCAATAAATATTTAAATCAGGATTTGTCTGAATGTTAAGCATCGGTCTGTAGTGAGATTTCGTATAATCTCTGGTGTTTTTTTTAGTCCATTTAGTGACATTTTCTTCATTCATATTGCATGTTTTGGTCACACCAGAACCCACGACTGAAGAATATCTCGTTGAAGACTGCATAGAAATCCAAAACAAAAATGGGTAATATAGAGGAGAGTCAGGAGGGTAGAATCACATTTCGATTTTCTTGAAAAAAAAGGATTGAATTTTATATAAAATTAAAAAGATGAAAACTTACCCTGCGATTGACCTATTTTTACAGTCACATCTGGTGTTATGCTTCACATCTGGTGCTGCGTAAATTCACATTTAATTTTCACCGATGCTCATTTCTGAGATACATATGGGTTCCACCCCCTTGATAAAGATAGAAAGTAGTTTTCTACCAATTAAAATGCGTAACCTTTAAACGATAAGTCACAGATGTGTAGCTTCTAGCGGCGTGAAGTTTGCAGTCTATACCTACTCTTGATGGCGTGACTCACATACAGAAATAACTTTTTGCTAGGAGTCCGGCCCTGTAGGGCTAGCAACGTCCTTTACGAATTTACTTGGTATTGCCGGAAGTGTCAAATCTCTCACAATGATCATGTTTTTGGAAAGATATTCCAGATTTGTACTCGTATTTACAGAAATCAAGCTATTCGAATAGTCGTATTAGATTTATTAGTTTGAAATTTTGCTGTGTAAAATAATATAAGATTCTGATGGCAGTGATGACTCGCAGTTTACTAACATGCAAGCGTCCGACATTTCAATGCAAGCGTCCGACCTTACCAGCAAAATAATTTATAGTTCACGTAAACATAAGGCAGGTTATAAAATAAACTAACACACACAGAAGGGAAAACAGGGACTAGATGTATAAACAGCTTTTCTTTCAAGATTCTCCCTCCTTGAAGATAGATATTAGAGAAAGTCTTTTAAAGCGACGGGCTTCCAGAAGATAACAGAAACACTGCCTTCTTACTAATATTTCAAAATCCAAACAACATTATATATTAGTTGAAATAATCGAAATATTTTAACATAATTGCTCTGAAAACCAGCAGTTCTCTTTTTCACCAACGGGAAATACCTTCTTTTATTATACTGCGCATTTTTTCATCCGTTTTTTTTTACAGTAACACATGATTAGACGGAACAATATCGCGACCTGTTATTCGGAACGCACGAAACCGGGATCGTATCAAACTAAAAGGAAACGAATAACTGCTTTTGTATTAATGTTTGTAGTAATTTGTTGCCCTAAAAACTATAATGTATAAATAAGATCATATATATGATGACTAATATATCGATTTCAACTATAGCTTGAAATATAATTAGGGTCTACTCAATGATGAAAATTGATATACGACCCCAGGCATACTGGACACCGGGATTTTTCTGGACCAATGCTTGTTAAATGAAGGTGTCACCTCGGTACGGAATTAGACCGTGCCCGTTGAAAGAAGTTCTTCTAGATTTTGACGTGGCCCATTTCCAATCACCCTTGGTAAGACTGATTACATTTTAATAAGTATATATTTTGTAAATTTGTACATGAAGTTTCATTTCTGAGTACTTTAAAAATTGTTTTTTGTGTATCTTTGCAGGATTTTATTTCTTGGTGGAAGGTTTCAGGAAGTACCATTGGCCAGAATACACTCAAGTTGTTATTTGGTTTATTTTATAGTGCTTACACAAATTAAAAGCTGCAGAAAAAGGCCAAGGGCTTATGTATTATCTTTTTGTGCTAAATTTACTTGGATAGTATTGCTGTTGACAGTTTTAGCCACCAAATTCCTGTAAGGGATATGCTGTGTTAAGAATTGAGTCCTAGATGTGATGGATTTACTATAGAATATAGATTACGAAAATTCAGTGGGCCGTTTCCTGAATTATTCTATCACTGTAGATTATGCAAAGGAAAATATACGCTATATTGACGATTTTGTTCTCATTCTCACTTGAATTATTTATAAGGTGTCAGTAATAATGAATTTACACATTAAACCTAACTACATCAGTTTTTACCGGTAACTTGAAATTTTATTTCATTTGTTTGATTTAACTATCTGGAGGCCAGTGGCACGAATAATAACTCACGCATTTTATTGATATTTTCGCTCTAATTACTTTTTCTTTTCATGTGATGCTAAATTACACCAAACAAACTAACGCCACAATCAGTGATTGGATATAACCTATTGTAAAAATTCTACGGCTACTCAAAAGTAGCTCAATTCTTTGTATGCAAATAATTCATAAAGAACCATGAAAGTCGTCATATTAACCGACATATTTTTGGGAAAATAGTTTTGGTTTAATATTTTAGTTATACATCAGCGACAATAATGTCCGAAACAATCACATCTTTACGGACTTTTCCATCAAATTTCGGATACCAGCCTCGAATACAATAGTAAGAATACACAGAGCTGATACGGTTAACATGTTAACAACTAGTAATTTAATGTTGTGAGTTGTTGATAAAGTTGGTTTTCAATATACCAAGTAAAATTCCACATACATTAAGTACAGTCAAGTTAAAAAAGTATACAGAGCATTATTAAATTTAATTACTTATAATAATGATTATAGAAAGCGAAAAAGCAAAATGTTAGCCTGTTGACGTTTAGTCGAATTTGTTTATAATTGTACATCCATGGATATTTTTACATTAAAAATGGTTGTTAGATTTGATCACTATTGTACCGAAACATGTGGAAGGGTATTTATGTAAGAATTCAATTCATGTAAATTACTTTTTCTTGCTTGTAAATTAAAATTCATTCATGTAAATGACTTATTCTTGCATGAACAATACATGGACACAATTGTAAATTAGTATTCTTTGTGCCAGTTTGTTATTTCTTCGTCTCATTTTTCTCATGGAAAATCATGCCATTTACATGGATTTAATTTACAAGCAAAAATGAGTTATTTACATGAATGGAATTTTTACTTAAAAACCTTCCATACAAACATAATGGATGTCAAATATTTGCATTCGTTATACATTCTCAAAGATCTTTCTCTATGTTTTGTTTACATAAAAACGCTTAGTAGAAGTAATTGCAACTCATATTAAGTCCTAGGTTATTATAAAGTATAACTAAGATGTTCCAATTGGGATGCGAAATGGAACAGAAAAAAATATCGTTTGTGATTTTACCTATTCTGCCTTCCTATGCACCGGTGTTGAAAGCCGATAAATACAGCTCAATCCGATATACATGTATAGCATATAATGTTTGAAGTTCCTTGTGCAATGCCACTGACTTTTGTAGCAGAAAAGAACGTGCTGCCTCATGCACAATTCTTTGTAAATAGAAGGTTTGTAAAGGTAAGTTTTAAACATGGCCTACTTACGTATTAAACAAAAACAAACAAGGGAAACATATTGTAGAAGGTCCACTTTAAATCATTTCTGTAAAAGTTGATATTTATTGATAATTTGAGTCAGGTGAAGATGTTATTAACATACAATGATGGAACAATAGACATGCTTCCTGTCACAAAGTGTTACCACTGAACACAGTGCTCAGACAAGCGTAATATAATTGACTTACCACCTCTTTGTTTGATATACTCTGGACATAACAGTGCAGTTTTCCTAAGCCGACTCTCAATCTCTGTTGTGTCCTGTCCATTTTCTGCACAAACGATCAGCTCTAACAATTCAGTCTGCCAAGTCTTTTTAAGACGCTCCTCAAAATCTGTGTAACCTTTGGCACCTTTGGATATTACTTTTTTCAATATCGTTTCATTCTTATCAGTTGGATCCTTACCCTGTAACATTGCATTTTATGAATAAGAATCACATTTTTTTACCTTTATACCAACTTGTTAATAACATTTTTAAACGTTCGGTAAGCGTTTATTTTTGTTTCATTTGCTTAGTATACCATGATCTCTTTTTTGAAATAATTTATGCAGAAATAATGATATATTTTTAAAGAATATTTCAAATATAAGTTCTAAGCATGAAATAAGATTATTTCTTAGGAATTATATTACAATCAACAAATAAAATTAAAAAAAAAATCACAATGTCACACATGTCATCAAATACTGACAATTGAATAAAGTAATCTAAATTGCACTGCCTCTAAACTACTTTATATCGTACCTGGATATTCCTTCTGTCTGCTACGTTGAGTAATTCAAATCCTGTATCACAATCAATTATAGGATCAGGATGCAAATACTTCTTGAGTGCGACGAAATTTTTAATAATGGCTTTTCGGCAAATCACAATATCAGAAGACTGTGTCATCTCCAGTTCTTCTTAAATACAGATTGATTATGTATCATTCATTAAATAATATACATATTATGAAGTATGGTTTGCTTGACAAGATTAAAAGTGTATTGATTATTTATCCCTATAAAGATGATTCGAGTTACGGTACAAAATATATTCCTATCTTGAAAATATTTTATCCACACTTCTCCTTATTATGTAATGTTCTTTTGCTGCAGAATTCGGAGCCTGAAAAACTTTAGGGTTTGCGCTTGACTTGGCCACATGATTACTATAATCCTAACAACACTGACAGAATGTGCAAATTATTATTGTGCAAGATCGATAATTGAAATTGTAGCATATTATCGCATGCTGAAATAGCAATTGCGCCCCGACCCTCATGACCAGTAATTATATGGGTTGAGAGCATAAATATATGGTGGCTAACATCAAAATGTGTCTGATCATTCCGCAATGGTATCGTTTATCTTTGTATTTTATGAGGTTATAATTACTTTTGACCTCCTTTTTTCATTGGTTTATCACATGTACATTGTATTTCCATTTTGTCGTCACGTGGAATGTCGCTATTGTTATATCTATTCAACAATGTGACCATGACAACAAAATGAATCTGTGTATTCCTTTCTTTTACATTTTCAGGAACACACTACTTGAGCATAGCTATGACATGAAGTATTGGTTGTTTCTTACCTTGTTCATTTACCAATGGATTGTTCTGCTCCAACAACTGCTGCGTCATGTCAACTTGTGGTGGTATGGATATTACATGCGGAGGTGTAGGCGCCCCAGTCGGAGGCGTAGGTGGTCTAGACGAGGAGGTAGCCACAGAAGGTGACCTAGATTGCAGCTTGGCTTCCCTTTGAATTATTTGTGTCCTATGAGGTGGCGTTGCTTGTGGCTGCCTTTTTCGTAGCGTCATTTTGTCATGGTTCACAGGTCTGACAAGCGGTTTCCTCTTTCTAGTCGAGCGGCTCATTTTGTCTAACATATAATATAAACGAGCGTTTTAAAATCATTCTTTTCTACTATACTATACTAGTATTTTAAAATCATTTTATTTTCTACTATTTAGTATAATATTATAATGAATATAGGCGTATTTAACCGACAATTTACATTTTATCAGAAAACTTCATGTTTACTATCAATTTGACCTTCCGACCTCTCCCATAATTCATATATATATTTATTTATTCAAATACTTGATACTCAGATATTTTACTTATGTTGTTATTTAGTAGCACGCTATTATTAGCTGTACACTTGATAGACTGCAGTTGAGAAAAGAGATGTACCAATACGTCCCGTCAGACAACAGGCCCCGTTCAAGATGTACTTAATTTTGTGTATTCCAAAGCCACAACGCTTTTTCTTATAATATAAACGAGTGAATGTCCAATAAAAAATGAGTCTTCAGTCCAAAAGGTAGTGGCCATTTAATTGTATCTAAAGTTACTGACTATTTATGTTAATAGACAGATTTATTGGCATTTTTCACTCCGAATACTTTGGACCAATACCATATAGTAAAAAACATTTTGACCCGTTTTTTTGGACACTTATGACCATGATATAGCCAATGCGGACACGATCTGGGAAAAGCATGAAACTTGGCATGGTGGCAGGAAATAGTATTTCAATTCATTTCAGCCTGGGGTCCACTTTTTAAAAATCCAAGATGGCCGCCAAAATCCAAGATGGCCGCCAAAATGTACAATGTACATAGGACATGACAAAATGGGGATATTTATAGCATTAAAATGATATAAATTGACATTGTAGGTCGATCATAATAATGACTTGGAAAGTGCTATACTAGCATCGGAAGAAAATTCAATAAGGCTTCAAAATCCAACATGGCCGCCATTAAATGACGATTTTTTGACAAATTTCTAAGATAAAAATAATTCATATGATCAACACTCTTCATGTATAAAACACAATAATTAACTGGCATTTCTTGCATAAATATGCACACACAGGTTTCATTCACACAGAAAAAAAAACTTTGCATTTATGGATAAAACCATGCGGGCACATTATTTAGCTGATGTTTCGAAGAATAGGGACCATACTGTACACAAATGGCGTCAGCTTGACAGTTTGGCTAAGGTTTTGCATGCAAGTTTGTTTTGTAAAAATTACATACATGTAATGGAATAGGTTAAAACCTAATACACTCATATGTGGGCATAAGAGGTCACTGTCAAAAACCAATAACTCTATCACCGCTTTTGACAGAATTATGACCCTTTTAGATATACAGAATTCTTTTTTTCTTTTTTCTTTTTTTTGGGGGAGGGGGTTCTTGTTTAATTATCAAGCACTGAGAACAGTCCAGCACTCTATGATATCCTACCAATAGCTCTGGTTTGCGTGATTCTGACACCATGCAAAACTGCTGATTACAAAGACGGCCCCTAGTTGTCTTAATATCAAAAACTAAGACACAAGTGCGTAACAATCAATACGAAACCGTTTCGTTTTGCGAAAAACAACATATTGTAGAATCACCAAATAAGTCGAATACTTTTATCTTAGAAGGACTCTAACACAGGTTTTTTGTGCATCAACATCTGCAGAAGTTAAGTCCTAACCCTGTAGGACGAGGGCTGTAAATGTGTTCTCCTGCTTATGAAGATGTTAATGCACAAAAAGGGTGAATAAATCCTCTATTGTATTGCACACATGCACACAATTTCTAAGCTTATCCGAACCAAATGTTCAGTATGAATTATACTAGTAAGTGTAGGGGGAGGTAAGGGGTTCTTCGAAATCCTGTCTCTCATTTTTTTTAAAAATGAATTTAGTTTGCAGCATCCTTAATTGTGATTGTCTTACTGCAGCTGCAAGTTCTTTTTTCATTAGTAATTTTAGCAGCATATATTTTATAAACGATAACGGAATCAGACTCTAATTATGTTATTATTTTGGCAAAGACTTGCGAATAAAATTAGAAAATCAGACAAATATTGAACAAAAAGAATATCTTGGCCTTTTCGGTAATCAAACTAAGTCTTTGGCATTATTAACACTAGTCATTTATGACTTTATATGATATCAAATTTAGACTTTACAGCTCTTTATATTTGTTTATTTTGATACGAGATTCCGTCTGTAAGATTGAACTACTCATTTTCTGACAACTGTGTATATCATGCCATTGAATTAAAATGCAAATATTTTGTTACTTATGTTTACCGTGATTGTATAATTATGCATTGTAAAGATGGGAATCAATTGCAGACCAGGTAAGAATGTTATGTTTATTTGATAATTGAAATCATAGTATTTTACCCGACCTGAAATAGCTAGTGTGCGCCATCCAAAGTTGTCAGTGGTTTTTTGGGTTGAGCGACAATTCTTCAACAGTATCGTTTTTCTTTGTATTGATGGGTTAATTACCTTTTTACCCTCTTCCTTTATGACAATTTGTGCCCCCCCCCTTTCTTTATGTGGAATGACGCCTTTGGTAAAACTAGTCAACACGGTGGCTATGTCCACAAATTGACTTTGTGTATTCCTTTTTTTTATTTAGATTTTCAGGGACGCATATCCCGAGCATAATTTAGACACAAGTAATTGGTAGTTTTTTACCTTGTCGATTTTCCAACTTAATGTCTTGCTTCAAACACTGCTGTGCCATGTCCGCTTGCTGTGGCATGGCTGTTACGGGCGATGATGTATTTGCCCTCGCTAATAGTGTAGGTGCCCTTGACGTGGACGTATGTGAATAAGCCGATACTGTAGCCGAAGATTGTTGCCGTGTTGATCCATTAGGCGGTATAGGTACCTTATGAGCTGCGGGGGCTTGTGATTTCCTTTGCGGCTGCCTTTTTCGTGGCGGCGGCTCGTCATGGTCTTCAAATCTGGCAGGCGGGTTCCTTTTTCGAGTTGAGCGTCTCATTTTTTTCTAAACAATCAAACAAATCACGCGTTTTACAATTATTATTTTTTACTATTTAGTATAATGTAGTAATGATTAGTTGACTAAATGCGGTAGTAATGGCTGCATATGAAAAATATCTATATACAAAACATTTAAATAGTCAATATTGTTTGTGAAACTACAAGTAATGTATTACCGTTAATTACACATCCGAATTACTAGGGGATATGCTTAATGAACATGTTGCATTATTTTTAGATTTTACACGGTTATGCCCTAAATAAAATACAATATGTTTGGTTATAAATTAACTGACTAAAATTTAAACGTAGGCATGTTGCAATAGCCTTAAACGAGTAAGTGTCTTATAAATACTGTATAGTCTTATTGTGTTGCACGATAAACGTTTGATTCCGTTTGTATTATTTACACGCGTATGTCTAGATGGCAAAGACTGAAATCGAATGACATAGTGGTAATGATGACTAATTCAAATATAACGCTTACGTCAATTAACAACAAACCCGTTGTATCCGATTAGTACATATATATATTTTTGAAGATAATAGTCAAAAAAGAAAATACTTGTTTCATTTGTACTGACGCAACGTGAGAAAGTGTACAGTCTATCTAATATTTTTGTGTCTGAATTTATTTTTTTTCAAAATAGTGGGGCCTACGAACGGCAAATGACATGAATGTTTAAACAGATATATAAGTCGTAGTCGTAGTATTATTATACTGTTTTAAATTTGAGCATGTTTTTGTTTTGCTCAATTCAAATCATTATATGATCATAGCGACTTGTGTACTCTACATTATACATTTCTTCACATTTTCAAGACTAACAGAACTTTTTTCAGCACAGATTTCAGATTTAAGCACATAAGTATCTTTTATTTTATTTTTTGTATTATAGATACACATGTAAAAGACATGGTCTATTTAAAGCAGCTGACCTCCAGAAGATAGCAGAACAACTGCCGTCTTGATAATATTTCAAAATCCCCCCTCAAAAACATTGTGGTTTTTTTTCTAGTATCAAGTGATCGTACAGGACAATATCGCGACCTGTGCTCCGGAACGCACGGAATCCGGGATTTTATCAAACATAAAGGGATACCAAAAATTGCTTTTGTTTTTATATTTGTAGTAATTCATGGCCCTAAAAATTATATTTGATTTATTATTTCATATATATGATGACCAAAATACACAACGGACTGATTTATTTGTAATTATCTCCTACGGTCAAAATAAAACATTTTTCAGATATATGTTTTAAATAAGATTCTTTTCACTTGAAATCAGGTATTTATTTCAATTTAAATTAACAACTTAACAACAAACGACAGACACGCTCACCTAAGCTCAGGTTAGCTAAAGATAAGATTCCTATTAACCTGAATTAAATTTGGCCAACCACGGAAACTTGTCGCTTATCAAATGCAATGTTTTTATATCAAAGATTTATGTACCTTATTAAGCTCCGTTTTGATTGCATGAAGACAAATTGGAAAAATATAATATAAAGCCCAAAAAACATGACATGATTGTTATTTTGTTATGAAATAGAAGGGTACAACAATTTTATAAACAATAATGGAATATGGTCAGTTTTAGCACTACTGGTGGTCCCTTTCCAATGTTGAATAATTTAAATAAAAGCATTAAACAAGAACAAGAAATATTGTCACGGAGAAAGCAAAAAAATT